GCTCCATAATTCTTTGGGAGACATTTTTGTACTCAATTGCCAAGATATAGTTAAAATTCCCATTGAAATATCCAATTTGTGCAGGAATGAGATGAAGGTGGCGGGTCTGGGCAAATAATTACAAAGGGAAGGTGAACACACCCAGAATCAGAAGTACCTAATTTTCATGGAGAACAGGCTGATACTTAATTGAAAAGAGATAAAACGGGTTATTTGTGGGTACACTACAACTGCTATACACAAGGAACTGAAAAGGCTCGTGAACTTCATGGCAATCTGTGCTCCCAGCAAGAAAGCTCAAGTAACAAAGGCTCATTGATGTGAAAAAGGGGGGAAGTTTTTAATAGAGGAATCTCAGGAGCCAGCCAAAGCAGCATTATCTTGTATTAAAAAATCTGCAAATAATGAAATTCAGAGGAGAGAGAAGCCAATTTTCATCTTTGCTTGGCCCATGAAATTAGTCCCGAATAAAAGGAGAAACACATGTAGAAAGGGCTGGAGACTAAACCTTCCCAGCAATATTCTTCTTGGGATATGATGCTAAAAAAGTACAGGGATTCCTGTTCAGAAACACTGAGCAGGTTCAGCTCCCTTTGACCTCAGGTTCTTAGTACTTTGGAAAATTAATTCACCAGAGCACACCTGAAATTTTTATCCCAGATCTCAGACTGTCCCCTGAAAAGCTACCTGGATGCAAGCAGGGAAATCCTCATCATAGATCTTACCATACGAGGCATCCCAAACTGATGCTCACCCTTTCTTGTCCAGAAATAAAATCGAAAAGGAAGATAATATGTCAAGCTTGGGTGAGAAGAGGCAGTGCTGCTAGGAGTGGGAGAGCAAAGAACGACTTTTAGGCTCTGTTGGGTGAAACAAGTGCATTTTGTTTACAGGCATGAAGAACCAATAAGAAGTGTATAAGGTACCATTTTGTCTCGATGCCATTTGGTTTGGGGGTGGAGTAACCTCATACATTCCTATTGTGGAAAAAAAGAAGCTGAAACTTCCATATGGATTTTCTTTCTTGGCCTGGTTTATTCTTTTCTGGGGTGCAGATGCTGGCTGAGTGTAACAGAGACTGGGCTTTCCTTCTCACACGTTATGCCAAAGTATGTCTGAAACCAATACTAGTGTCTTAGAAGTAATTTGCAGGAGTTTTAAATATATCTTTGTGACTCCATAGGCTACACCGCCTTCCGGGTATAGTGCAAATCAGTATTTATGAAAAGCATTTTCAAAGTGGATCTTTGAACCTGCTGGACTGTATGGTTTCTCCTGTGCCATTTTTGATCCATTGTATAAATACAAATTTTGGCACATGCACAACACTATAAACTGTATAATTGTTTTTATTAGAGTTCTGTGAGTTTGGAGGTACCTGTTCTTTAATTACACTTGGCAAGTTTCCAGGAAAACTCTTCTAAAATGCACTGCTTGCAAAGACTTACTTGGGCCACCCACAATGACAGCTTTTATTTTTCTTCTATTAGTGATGGACATTTTTATATAATTTTGGTCTGGGTGTGTGACAGAGCCCCCGTGTCCTCAGCTGCAGCTTCCCCTTGTTCACTTTTCAGCTGCGGAGTCTGTCGGGACACAGTGGCAGCAGCTTGTGACATTTGGACCCTGGCCAAATGAACACTACTTGCCGAGGTTTTAGGTTGTCGTCTTTTGCTTTCTTGCTTTCCCCTCCCCCCTTTTAAAATTTCTGGTGACACTGGAAATGCAAGTCAGTTAATCTCTTCTAAAATCTTAGCATTAGCCTACAGCACTGACTGCGAGAGAAATGCAGAACATTGCTCTGTGCAGTTTCTATATGTCAGCCGCAAGCAGCCAGCGTGGAGGTGGTTTTAGTTCCGCTCCTGAGCCCAAATCTGTTGTGTAGCAGCACAGAGCAAGTACAATAGCAACAAGTCAGCAGGATAGCTGGAACTTCATGCTCCATGCCAGAAAGTAGGATGTCCAGCTAGCACAAATAAATGTGTAGAACTAATCAAATTAGGATGGACATGCTGTGCAAAACAGAGAAATGCATGTAAGCAGAAAATTGTGTTTAATATTTGTAATCAAAAGCATTTATTTGGGACTATAGCAGCCGAGCGCTACGTGCAAATTGGGTGAGGAAAAATGTAAACATTGTTTCTTTGATTTCATTGGGAGTCAGGGTACAGCAGGAAAGCTGGATCAAACTCCTTTTCCAGCAGCTATGATTATAAAGCTATGTAAAATGAATTTGAAGGCTTATTGACAGAAAATATTGCCGTAAATGGTGGTGAAAACCTATTCCACAGAGATTACTTTGTTTTATGGAGTTTGCCAGAATTTATAGGATGCAATCCGAAAACTATGGTTTTAGAGCTCATTTGAGGAAATAACTTCAGTCCTAACACCACATTTTGAGGCTTCTGTAGAAAGTCAAATTTAATAGAGAAACTGGGGAGACAGTGGAATTTTACTATGTGAACTTTCAGGCCTGCAAGGAACATGAATTAATGGAGGAACCACACTAAGTCAAGCAGCAAATGGTTTTGCCACTTTTCCAGTTTTCATATCAGCTGAAATGTAGTTATCTGTGAGCAGGACAGCTGTTGATGTGGCATAGCCCATGCCATGTGTCACTGAAAAGTGCCATTAGCCATGACGTAAAAGCGACTTCATTACAGTAACTCATATTATAAACTGCACAGTGGGTAGATATGCAGAAATATGCTTTGTGTGTGCTTTTGGGAACACGCTGGACTAGCGTTCTCCATTCCTGAGGATATCATAGGTAGCTTCAGGTTTCACAGAAATAAACAAAAAAATCCTCATTGTTTCTTTTTATGACCGTAGCCCTTTAGAATCTGGGGAAGGAGGAAAGGATATTGCAGGGGAGCGTGTGCGGTTTGCAGGCATCGCAGCCCTCGCTGGTGCTCCATAAACCTGCTCGGCGGCAGTCAGAGCGCCCGCTGGAGATACTGCTAGTGCTGGTGGAGCAGGAGCTGCCCGAGTGGCCCCAGGTGTGTCCTGACGAGGCCAGTGAGGAGGTGTCACGTCCCAGCTGTGCCCCCGTGCCGTACCGGGGCACTGCCTGGAGCAGAGACGGAGGCCGTGAGCTCTCTGCGTGCCCACCTGTGTGCACAGGGATCTTCCGGCAAGAAAGATGCAATAGGCCGATTTCTCAGGTTTTGTAAGCTGGCCAAACAGAGGAGCCATGATCATGTATTCCAGCTTAAGGGATCTCTATGGTACCAAGTCAGTCTAAGCAACACAGAAATAGCCGTACAACGGTGATGGGTACCAGATTACCACCGTCCCCCCTTGACACTTAATCTGTATGTACCCTTCCACAAGATATTTTTCAAGACACTCATGTTGCTGGAGTAAAGGTTTTGTCACGCTACAGGTAAGTAGCAGTGGCTGAACTCTGCAGATGAATTATAGACATTTACAAATTGCCTTGAGAATATTGAATAAAAAATACAATGGGAAGGAAAAACCTCCTTCGCAACTGAGTTAAGTGTGGAACATAACCGGAGTAACTCCACTTTATAGCTTGTGTCAACTTGGGAAAAAGAGTAGGTGAACTTGGTAGACCTTGAGAACTCTCAGCTCATTTTAAAGAGGATTATTTTCATTTGTAAGGAGGTTTCCATGAAGTTTCACCTCATGGATTTTGACTCAGCGTGGGCCTAATCACCCCTCACTGCAACCAAAGGGCTCCTATGTTCCACAAGAGAAAAACAAGTCCACAAGAATAAATCCAGAGTGCAGAGGGTGACCTGGAAGAGTACTGCAATGTAGCTTGAATATCCCGACAAGCCTGTCTCCCAGTGAAAAATAATCATAGAAATAGTCCGTTAGGAAGGGGCAATTGCAGGAACTGAATGCAGAGTTAGCAAATATTGAATCTGTTCCGTCATTCGTATTTCCTCAATATGATGTGGCCTAAGTGCTCCTTTTTTTTTGTCCCCGTTTGAAAATACTGTGCTTCCAGTGACCCAATCACAAGTCATATAAATATAGTATAGATTATATTAATCAGATTAGTTACTACATGAAATGTATCTGGAAAAATAATGTAGATTGAAAGTTGATAGCTGTCATACAACAGACTTCTGTGATCACTCATCTCTCCTCAGTGGTCACACATATCTCTACATGATAAAGAGTTTGCTCTGACAAAGAAGACAAAACAAACATGATAGCATTTTTATTCAGGGCATATTTCTTCTGCATGCCTGTCAGCCCTGTTACCGACAGTGTGAGTTTTGGTGTGTGGCTGCATCTTGGTTCTCGGGAAAAATGTCTGCAGAAATCCTTGAGAAAAGAAAGAGGCAACATTAGAGAAAATAAGTACTAAAACTAATCAATTTTCTGTGCCAAACTAGCAAGGAGGCACTGAAGAGCACTCTACATCTTTTCACAAGGTGACATGGATAGGCACTCGGCACCCAGGAGCGAGCTGCCCAGAGCAGAGGGACGAGCAGCCCTGATGGGCTTCAGGTGATGCCGCCGCCAGAGTCCGTATGGTGATTGAAGTGAAGCGTTAGCTCCCAGCTGCTGTGGAGCAGCAAAAACGCGACTCCTCCTGTTAAATACAGGAGAAAAGGTGGCTTCTCTTTGCATCTCTGCCTTTGGGCTTCTTGTACCTGCTTGTAACAGAGTTTCTCCTGCTGGTAGAATGCAAATACAGCAAGTGGATACACACAGCTAAGGGAAGAAAAACAGAAGTAAGTAACAGAATAAGTAGAAGAAAATGATCTACTGAAAACATGACAAAACTGATGAGCATAAGAAAAGTGATAGCAGCACCCAACCCGACAGCTCTGGGTGCACACGGGAGAGCCCAGGGACAGAGCGCAGGGATTCTCGCTGACGGACCATGCGCCAGCCCTGCGGTGGGGAGCACCAGGGAACGTGGAGGGGAAAGGAATGAAGGCTGGAGAGAGCCTTGTTTACCGTGTGACTTAGCGTGGAGCTTTATTTCTGTGGCGTTTGCATGGTAACTATGTTTGCAGATGGTAACGAGCTGCCTGCAGGACTCTCTGATGTTTATGACCATCACCGCTGTGATCTTGATTGACTCGGGGAGCAAAGTATGATGTTGTCTGGGCACGTCGACTCATCGATGTTGCTGCCTACAGGCCTGGAAAGGTTGGGGACCCCGGCCCCGTGCCAACTCAAATTTGGACGCGTGTCGTCTGTAGTCACGCAAAGCAGGATTGCTTTTTTCTTTTTCTTTGATCACGCTCAGAAAATGCAAATCCCCAGGGTGAAATTTCAGCTCCACAGAAATCAACAGCAAAGCTCTCTTCAGTGGTGCTAGGTCTGTGATGAACGTTGTTTGCTCTTAATCAATTCTTGTAGTGGCTAGAAAGCAGTATTTACTTCCCTCTCCTCACAGCAAATAAGATGTCAGATTTTGCAGTCAGGTAGTCTGCTGAAAGCAATCAGGGCTATCTGTTCAGGGCGTTGACGGCGGATAGTAAAATTTCAGCTCTCTCGTTGGATATTTTTCTCCTGTTGTCCCTGATGTGGAGCATGTTTTATGTGTTTTGCTCCAGTGGGGCCCTAGTAAACTTGTAGCCAGCAATTTCTCTTGAATGTGCTCAGTAGGAGGTGACAGATGCACTATGACCAAAAGGTCTTGAAATTTTATCATGGTATATTTAGCAAGGTGATAACACAAAACCACTGGAAAATAGAGGTGAAGGAGAAATTCCACACCTGGGAAGTCAGTTAATGTTGACAGACAGAAAATGCCTTAGAAAGGGAAACATCTCTGATCCATCAGTGTAGCCCAATGTGCCAGCCCCGTAGCGTGGGGCTGGGTGGCTAAGGCGGGTGGCAGCTCCCCGGTCCCCGTGCCCAGTGTGGGGCAGTGAGGACCTGAGATCCACACCGCTACTGTGCGTTTCAATAGTGTGACTTTGGAACAGGGGAGACCGGGAGTGTCATCGCACAGGGACATGCACCCGATGCGCAGAAGGGAGGTCGGGTGCTGAGGGACACACACCAAGAGCAGCAGAAACAAGTTCTGCATTGCCTTCCCGCCTGGAGCAGCCCCACGAGCTTCCGACCTTCAGTTTCCTTCCAGAATATAGAGATGTTTCATCCTTTCCAGGAGTTGTCAGTGGAAGGGAAAGTGTGATTGATAGTGGAGCCCCGAGCGCGGCGTTTGCGGGAGCCCCCTC